TTTTTGCAGTGCATAAAAATTTTTCTTTAAAACCGTATACAGTCAAACTCAAATTAATAAAAGACAGCGAAAGTACACCAGAGGTAACAGGAAGCAATGTCATTGCCATTGCTATTTCTAACCAGATGTGATTTACTACTTCCTATGTTGGTTTGTAGGCAGATAAAAAAAAAAAAAAGAGTTGTAGCTGAAACTCAGGATGTGGTGCATTCGCACGTGTCACTTGTATGCTTAGTTAATGACAAAACCCTCTGAAAATTTGTATTCTGTTCATTATATTAACAGCATTACATTAACTGAGGGCTTTTTGAATGTTGCTAAGCAACATGCATTGGTTTGTTTACTCAAAAAGAAAAAGGTAAATAGTAAATGTATGAATTCAGAATTCTTGCAAAAGGGCAGACAGGGTTAAACAATCATAGTTTTATTTGAAACACCTGCACGTACACTACCTTCCACGTGCATTTTGAATCTTTAATGTGAGCAGATTAAACACAATCAGCCGCCCAATATATCACAACCACGAGCAATGCTCCTGCTCTGCACTTTTTGCATGCCTTTTTATAACCACGTAGACTCTCATCTACCCTTGCAAACACGTATCTCTGTCTGCTGTTAATGTTTGTCACCTCTGTGGTGGAACAAGCAGGGCAAACTAACCTGCCTGTTACTGGCTACTAGATGCTGCTAGTGTCTTTAGGCTAAAAGCTTATTATTCAGCAAGATGCAAGTGACTGATATGAACTTCCTGCATGTTTCTCTGATAAAGTTGCACCCATGACTGAGCCAGTTCTGGAGAACCTAAGAGTAGACTAGATTAATTAATGTCTAGATGAAAACAAAAAACAAACCTTTTGTGGATAACAGAATCGAGTCAAAGCCAGTTATCCAGAACGTATGGAGTAAGTTTTGTTTCCTTTTTATTGAAAAAAAAACACAAAACAAAACAACACTTACATAAAAAAATTGAGCAGAAAAAATCTAAGAGATGAAACATTTTTTATAATAAAAAAAAAAGAGTATAATACAATGCAGAGCTGAGTAAGAGTGAATAATCTACTTTTTTGTTTTAGCTGTAGAGGTATTGCTCAATTATTGGTCAATTTGCAAAACAGAATAATTAGTGTTGCGCCGAGGCCATTTTTTGGCTCGATACCGATAACTGGCTCTGCAGTATTGCCCAATATACAGATGTCATACAAATTCCATTTGTTTGAAATTGATGTGTGTGTATATACATGAAGAGCCATCATGGCTTTGTTAAGCTGCTGCTTACACCTAAGAAGCAGGAAAAAAGACTAATACAGAGTGAATTCAGTAGAACTTTTTATCGTCTACCTGGAATTGGTGACAATAGCTTAACTTTTGGCTCTCAAAGGCCAAAATAGTGCAACATTCATGAAATTATAACGTATAATAATGCAATATTAAGACAGTAAAATTACATTAATAATTGAATAATCTCTTTTAAACCTGAGTTTTGACTCTCAAATGCCATAACAGTGCAACTTTCATGAACCTATATAACACGTATAATACTAGTGCAACAGCAAGAAAGTGAAATTATTCTCATTAGTTTGGCACAGGCCAATAGCTATAGTTAACACTAGTGAGTGTTGGGAGAGAGAAGGCTGCGTTCAAGTGCCATTCAAACATCAAAATGGTATCGGGGCCCTATTTGTTGGTACCCGCCAATGCCACCCTTTTAGCAGTGGATCGGGGCCCCACCCAGTATCGGTGCAACACTGATTATAATATCAGGAATGAGTTAATCTATAATCCGTTACTTGCATTCTTAGGATCTGACAGTGTAACCTCAAACAGAAAAGGTAAGCATAAAAACGTTCAAATTTACAAAATATTAGAGCATGACATTGCCATTTCTTCCTTTTTCTCTGTCTGTGACACTGGCACAGAGCGACACCTTGCAGGAGACAAGCACCTGAACATCTGTTGACCCCGCTGCAGAAGCTGCATAACTTCATTTACATACAGGTAAACCAGCGGGTTGAGAGCGCTGTTCAGGCTCACAAGACCACGAGTCACCTGACGGGCTCTGAAGATCCTCTCCTCCCAGCTACTGCATTTCTTCTGCCAATTTAGAAGTCTTAAGTAGAGGTTAAGGTTCTTGAATATATGGTAGGGAACATAACAGATCAGGAACAGAAGAATCAAAACTGCCAACAGCTTCAAGCTTCGTCGTTTCACATTCTTGTCAATTGTTTTTGAGCTGCAGACGACATAGGTGACATGTCCATAGCTCCAAACAGTGATGAGGAAAGGGATGCAGAATCCAAAGAACGTAAATATGATGGTGTAATCCAGGTATCCCTTCATATAATCATTAGTGGTGGTGTCAAAACATTGATCGTCAAAATATTTTTTGGGGAAGAACATGTCCGGAAGGCTTTGAACACTCACCAGAATCCAAACAATGGCTGAGATACCAATGGAACGATTCGCCGTTAATCTCCCCTTTGATTTCATGGGATGGACGATTGCCAGGTACCTGTACACACTAATACAAGTGAGGAATCCAATGCTGCAATATAAATTCAGGTTGAAACAGAATCTTGTCAGTTTGCAGAGAGTTTCTCCAAAGATCCATGTCCTCCCTTTAAGGTAGTAGACGATCAGAAGAGGAAGATTGAGCAGGTACAAAATGTCTGCAAGTCCCAGGTTTAAAAGAAAGATGTTAATATCCCCAAGTTTCTTCCAGTTATGCAGCAAAGACTTCAATCCCCATCCGTTAGCCACCAGTCCAACAATTAACACCAAAATGTAAAGAGTAGGCAGCAATATATTTTCAAAGTTCTTATTTAAGGGTTTACAGTAGTTTTTAGTTGTATTCATTTTGCCTTCAAGAAACAAGTGAGTTCGACCCTCGTTCTCAGAGTGCTGCTCACGTTTAAGTAAGACAGAAATAGCATCCAACTAACTTCCTTTCTCAAGCCCCGCCTCTTCAAAGGCAGGTTTGCAAAGAAATGAGACACCATTTGTGTTGGATTTTTACCATGAATACAGTGAATACAAACACATTTTATCACACCAAAAGTGAAACTTTCTCAACAGTAAAGTTTCATTCATTCCGCAGAAAAGCCTTTAACTGTAATCATCCTGGTACAGAACAGACAAGATAAGACAAGACAGCATCCTGTGTTAAAACAAACTTAGTTAAAAGGTCATTACGTTTCTTTTGGTTTCTTTTTTTTTCTGGGTAATTCCATTCAATTCAAATTCAACAACACTATTAATCCCAAATGGATTAGTGAGGCAGGAAAATGCAAATATTAACTTCATTTAAAAATATAGTTAAATTTCTGTAATTAGACAACTTTGAGATATGACCAGGTACAATTTTCAGCCCTTGCATTTTTTCATCTACACCAGCCCAATTATGGATTCTGCTTCATTCTCTCTCTATTCTCCTACTCTAGAGAATCTGTTAGTTCAATCTCT